CCCCAAAACCCCAAAACCCCAAAACCCCAAAACCCCGCTAGTCTAGGATTGTAAAAATTTAAATTTATACAAGAATAAAATATTTAATTTTTGTATTGGAAAACATGTCAAATACACATTAAGCTTAAAATGATAAAGATAAAAAATAGCCTAATGCCTTTGAGGATTTTTTCGATTGCTCTGGTAATATTAACAATGAATAATTATACTGCTTATAGAGATTGATAACTAAGATTATTCTCAGTTTATAAATGATCAATCTCAATTTATTGTGGGATAAAATGGTGAACATATCAAAGCAACTGAGACTAATTAGGATGAACAATAAGACATTAACATTGATGTGAACAATATAGTGTCACTTATAAGATTGGAGGACTAAGAGCTTGAATAATAGAAAGCTTAGGATTAAGAATAGGCTATATAGTAAAATGATGAAGACATTGGGGACATATCTCCTATAGGTAACAAATCAAATTCAGTCTAACAAAGTTTGCTATAAAAATAAACATAGCTGAAGTAAGAGTCGCTATCAAAGAGTAAATGAATCACTAAAGAGACTATGTTGATAGAGCCACTTCCATTATTTGACTGTATGTTCTGTGCGAGGGAGAACTAAGTAGTCTATAATAAGATTTCAGAGCGAATCCTAACAAGAAAGTATGATAAAATTTCAAAAAATGATAAAACTGGAAGATTTTCACAGCTTAATCACCTGAGAATTTCTGAAATCTTGTCAATTTAGTCTTTAGAATATATTGCAACTGATAGTGCTGAGAATGAAGTTCAATTTATCGAGGATTTTTAAAAAGATGAGAAAATACAGTATCTTTAGAACTCATTGTAGCTGCTAATAAAGTTAAATACGTCCTAAATGAATTATTAAGGCTAGAATTCTTACATTCATACGATAGCCAATGCATCTCCTGTTCATGCTAAATCAACATAAACGATTCAGTCAAATATTACTTAATTCATCCTTTTCCCTTCTATTAAGTTCAATAGTGACTACTTTGATAGCAAGGCTGTCTTCCTCAAGAATAAATTAAGCTACTAAATTATGTAATCTAGAATCAGAAATGATCATTCACAAGGTCATGATGATAGGAATAACTATTTAACCTCCCCCACATTTTTAGGATAAGAAAATCATAGTCAGAGTCTACATCCAAACTTTTTTAATACTATACATCTCCCATTCAAATAAGTTAATATTCGCCCTAACATGCTAGTAAAGGATTTCATTCTTGAAGAGAATAACTAATTTATGGATGAGAATGTTACCATTGAAAAATGGGCAAGGACCTAGCGACAAAGAATTTTAATGAACATATCATTTGACTCAGACTACCATAATATCTATAACCCTGTATTTTCCTCAGAAAATTCTGGATCTAGATCGGTATCATCTATTGAGAAGTCAGTTTACCAAGATTTTTCACCCATAAGACTTGAGGGTTCAAGGGACGAATTTTCATCTGGGAGTAGTACTCCATCAGTAGCAGAAGAAAGAGATACGATTTCTCTTACTCCAAATGCTATTACTCCAAATCTGTCTAGAATAATGAATATTTGTAGCATAAGTAAGATAGATCAATTATCAATTTTAAATCCAAATACAGAGATATCTCCACTGCCTTACAGGGCACCAAAAAGCTAATTGTCTTTTAATAAAACGAAGCCAAAGAAAGTTTACTAGTTTTAAAGAACTGATATTACTGGAAAAAGTTATCAGCATAGTGTAATAAATGATGAAATTGCAAACATTGAATGCGTTATTGTCCAAGAACCTTAGTTTAAGTTCAAATAATAAAGTGAAAATATTAATAACACTGATTAAAAGCAAAGATTATAAATTTCATAAATAAGTATAGGAGATAGTCTGCCTGTCCCTGGATTGCTGAGCAGAGGCTCAAATGGAAGAAATATTTCAAACATTATTATGTCACATAATCATGTAATGCAAAATACTAATAACTATAAAACAGAGCCTAATGATTCAATCTTTATGAGTCATATAGGCTCAATATAGCATAGTCTTCCTTATCAAGATTTTTAGCAATCGGGCTAAAAAAGCCCAGCTAAGATACAACTCAGAACTAAATAGACATCAAAGATAAATCATAATAAACCTGCAAACAGATTTTTAAAGAAGAAGGTATCCATAGATTAAGGCAGTTTTAAAAGTAAAATAACATATGATAACACAGCAATGAAAATGAAGAGAGATAGTTCAAATCATCTACTAAATTTTGAGCAGTCAAGCATCATCAATCCATATGAAACACTTTATGGTAGTCCTCAACAGCTTATGGACAAAAGCACTACAATAGGTAATGAAATTCGAACATCTTTATTAACAACAGGAGCTACTGAAGCAAAGAATCCATATCGTAAAAATAAGTAAGCTTTTACTTAGAAGGCTCCAGGAACTACTGCGATGAGAAATAGTCAGAGTATGTCTAACTTAAACTTATAACCTAGAGCATTTATTACAAGAAATGTGAAAATTAGAAAGAACAATAACTAGTCTTAATTCGGTCTTATAAATCCCGTACCTGTTGGCTGCTCATCTGATTTTTAAGTAACACCTGTTAATCAGTTCACCAGAAGAAATATTGATATTGGTTTTAAGGATGAAGTTATAAGAGAGATTAGTCTTCAAAAATCTTAACCCTAATCAAGTGCAGCATTGCTTGTTAAGAAAGAACAGAGTTTGCAACTTAAGAGATAAAGACTTGCTAGAGACATATTATTATCAAAAGTATATAACTCTAATAATCAATAACTTGTAATCAATACTCATAAAAAGACAAATACAACAATATAGCATAGCAACAATTTTAATCATTAGCAATTCTAACAAATATCTCTGTCAAAGGTGGGTTCTGTTAAGTAAAGCCAAGCTTAATTGAAAACAGCCATAAAAAAATCTTCTGGAAAAATTGACCAGCAACTTACATTTAGCCATTAGAATAATGGGGCCACCAATTTTAACTATCAGCATTCCAAGAATGAAATGAGCATGAGTTACTTTAATAAACCACTTGAAAACAAGCCATTTATTCGATCTATAGCAAGTACTACTATGAAGAATTCAAATTTTAACAGTCAAAGTAACAACATGGGCAACATGTTCCATGCTCATTTACCCACAATCAATAATTTTCTTAAATGAACAAAAGTCATTATATAAATATTGAAGTATAAATAAGACTTCATCATTCATAATCTGTAAACTTTATTAAATGCTTCTTTACAAAAAGTTTATTTATGAACTACGGGGTTTTGGGGTTTTGGGGAGATCGGAAGAGCACACG